TTAAAATCTCAAAATTATATGTATTTAATTTTGGTAGTAATAGGATACTTTTAATTTGGAAATACTTGCATTTGTTTATACTTGCAATGAAGAACGATTTGGTTATAATTATAAATTACCTTTGTACACTAATTTGCTTGAATACTGATAAAATTGATTTTATAATATTATTCATCTCACGAATCAACATGAAAATTGTAAATTTATACATATAAATTTATTTTAAATTTATTATCAAGCACTATTGCAAATTATTTCCATGTAACGAGAGAAAAATGGTTTTTCATCCAAAAATATTATTAAAGTTACACCTCTTAAAATGTCTGGTAAATAAAAGTTATTTGTTAATTTAAAACATTTTTGAAAATGAAAGGTTTATTATAATTTATAAATTTAAGTATAAAATAAAATAATAAGAGGCTAAAGTATCGATAATTGCATGAAGTGACTTTTCAGCGGTAATTTTCTAGTAAAATTTGCATATTTATATAATGTAAAATAGAATAAATATTTAGGCTATGCCTTATCAATCTGTACTAACATTCGGTGCAGTATTTAATCATTTATTGCATACAAAATTATAAATACCATTAAAAACACAAGGTTGTATCACACGTTATTCGCACAGGTTCGGTGTTCCTTCATATACTTAAAGTATAGCGACCAACATTGCGATTAGTGTAACATTTCGATAATTACGATGTAACGCATTCATATAAGTAATTGGGAACAAATGAAAGTAGGTTTTGTAAAATAATCATTAATCGGCATTTTTCCAGTATTTTTCGATTTTTTTTCTTTTTTCTTTGTCAGAGTAGTGTCTTTTTATTTCTCACTTTACTTAATTGTCTTTTTAATAATTCCAAATAAGCGCCCATCGTATTTATTAACTAGGCTTATACATCGGCTAACGAGTAACGGTGTTAATATCGTGCAAGAATCATTTTCCCGTACAGCAACGCTCGCTAAAAACACAAAATAAGAATAGATGAGCTGTCCGGTTTGACTCGTGTGCAATCCCGACTTCCGAGCTCCAGCCACGAGCTCCTGAATTCAATCCTTCAGCTAGGATCTTCTCACGAAACAGATAGTATTACCATCTC